CCTCTTTTAACCTGCCAATATCTTTCAATTATTTCCTAATCAAAACCCAGTTTTGGATCAGGCTAAGGACTTTTTTTTTCGTTTTGGTTTAGTTCATATTTTCCTCTGCAGAATCCAAGGATGTGTTTCCTATTGGAAGCTGCTGCCCATTTATACCTCCAAAAAATGCTATAGCCAGAAAGGAACGGTACCGACCTGGACATAAAATCAGGGGGAGAAACAGTACCAACCAAATCCTGAACAACAATACTGATGAACACACACGCTCGCTCTCTCGCTGTCTCTCACACACACAAGCAAAGGGCACACACACATATATATACACTAGCAAAGAACATACACACATACCTACATACACACACACATACACACGTACAATAGCAAACAACACACACACACATTAACACACACACCCGGTGGAGGGAAACCTGGGCTATTTTCAGTAACTATCTCCTAATGTCCAGGCATTTTGGACCCGTACTTTAATAACTGCTAGAGGGTCTGTTAGCACAAAAGATAATATTCGGGCACCAACATTTAGATGGTTTGACATCTTTTTCAAAGCCACATTTCTTTCTCTCTTTTTTGGGGGGGCCTGATTTGGTTTGTTGTTACGCTTCCCTGCAGTGGGAAGCGCTTAAAAGTTCCCCCCAAAATGCAGCAGTCCCAACCTCTGATCTATCCCCCCTCCCCCACATACACTCTTTCCTTGCGAAATAAACTTTGCAGCTAGATCTCTCTTTATCCATTTTATGCCAGTTTTTCTCTTTGCCCCTCTGGGGAGGGAGAAAACACGTCTTAGTCCCGGAGCCACGGATCTGGCAATGGCAAAGGATGCACTGGATAGTCCGAGACAAATACATAAAAGCAATTTTTTCCCCTAGGGGAGGAGAGAAAAAAAGAGGGGGGAAAAGCCAAAAACACCCCCCCTCCAAATAAATAGCAATTCATGAGCATTTTCCCCCCTCCTGGCTCAGGAAGAACAAGGGTAGCTCAAGACGAATACGAATTCATCCCCGATTTTCTTCTTGACCTCTTGCAAATGCCATTAAAACACCAGCCCAGGACAGAGCCAGAAAGAGTCTCCATCGCACGGTCCCATCTGCGCGCATCACCCCAGCACTTGGGGGTCCTTGAGCCCCTTCCTGCCACCATCAACTGGGGGGTTTAAGGGGGGAGACAAGTGGATGGCGAATTTGGCAGTCCACTTACCTATCTGCACAGCGAGGATCAGAGAAATATATCTGCCGTTCAACTTAAGTCCCATCCTACATTTAGTAAAACCATTTGCGACTGCAGATCTTTAAATAGTTACTTTGGAAATCGTGGGGGAAAGCCGAAAAATAGGCATTGCCAACAAGTTCCCAGCAGCGGCGACTTTGCAGCCAAGGGGGAGAGAGAGAAGAAGAAGAAGGAGAAAGAGAGAGAGAGAGAGAGAGAGAGAGAGAGAGAGAGAGAGAGGGCAGGAATAGCTGGGAATGGTTCACTCCATTAGGAGGGGGCGGAGGAAGAACAGCTTCACGCCCACGACCAGCCCTGACGTGGGGGATGACACTGCCTGATTTTTTTTTAATGTGCACCTTGGAAGAGAAACGCCATTTATAGGCATCGCAGACTGGATTTAGCCAGCTCTCTGCCATGAGTCGCAGTGAAATCTCCCCCCCACCCCCCAGCATATTCCCACCCAGCCCACCCCAGGCTTGGGGCTGATCGCTGGGGTGACCCTGCAGGACCTTCAGTGGGAGCAGGCAAGGAGCAGACAAAAGGCCGCCCCTAGAAGCGGGCCCAGGGAGCCCTCCTGCCCTCCTCCTGAGCAGGTGCCTGCTGCCAGGGGCTGCAGCAAGCGCCTGAAGTGCAAAGCAGCCTCTTGCTAATCCGTGTGTCTCCCTTCCTTCCCCACCAGCTCCCAGTACTTCAGTGTAACCCTCCTGGGTCTGCACAGCCTGCTCCCATCTCCCCTCTCCCTCCAAGCATAGTCACATTCCCCAGGGCCCCCGGCTAGCTTAG